GGGAGTGGGGTGATCACAGTGCAAAGTCGGGGTCCAGCGACCCTACGAGGAGGGAGAGGGGGGAATCACAGTGCAAGGTCGGGGTCCAGCGACCCGAAGAGGGAGGGGGGATCACAGTGCAAGCTCGGGGTCCAGCGACCCGAGGAGGAGGGAGTGGGTCCACAGTGGGGTCCAGCCGCCTGCGAACGACGCGGACTCGGCCCCCGGGAGGTCACTCGGGAACTGGGGGGAGGGCCCGATTTCCGGGCCACCAGGAAGTGTAGGGGCCCAGGCGGGATCCGGACACGATTCGGGGTCCAGGGAGCAGGGAGTGCGGTGCGCTGACTGCGGGTGGCTCGGAGGAAGGGGGTCGCGATCGGCGTCCGAACCTGGGTGGGCGAGGCGAAGGTGAAGGACATCTGCCCGGGGCCGGCGGCGGCGGCGCGGGGCTGGAGGAGCGGGCGGCGGCAGGTGGACTAAGACGGAGGCGGGCGGCCTGGAGGACGAGGAGGACGGCGCGCAGGGGCTTGTGGGACAGGAAGTCCGCGCCACGGCGCAGGCGCGAACTACGATTCCCGACGAGCCGCGCGCGACGTCGGCGACGCCGCGCGTGGGGCACTCTGGGGGTTGTAGTTTCCCTTCAATTCTGAGCTAAGACCCGCCCTAGTCCAGCCAGAGGGCTCCCCATAGCCCCCCTGGGGCAGTCAAACAAAGGGGGCCAGGTGACTGCACTGTAGAAGGGCTCATGAACTTTAATAATGCTGAGTGTTCATCTCCTGCGAGAGTCTTAATTCTCAGAGAACCCAATATTCTGGGGTTTGTGGAACTGAGCCTATCTTCCGAGACTCTGAAACTGAGGTGGACCTGAAGCATTGGCTGCAGAAGGTCAAGGACTGTAGTCTTCTATATGGATTGAAGTTCAACATTAAGAAGACAATAGATTCTCACTGGGCCAACTGCCAGCACCATGATGGATGGAGAAGAGATTGAGGTTAACAATTTCAGCTTTCTTGGATCCACACTCTGGGCACCAGCAGTCAGGAAACCAAAAGACGAGTTGCATTATGTAAATCTGCAGTCAAGAACCTCTCCCAAGCACTGAAAAGTAAGGATGTCAGTCAAGAGACTAAGGTGTGCCTCTTCGCAGTTACTTGCTATGCATCAGAGAGTTGAACAGTGACTACAGAGGACAGAAGAAGAATTGATGCCTTTGAGTTGGTGGTGCTGAAGAAGAGTCTTGAACATGCCATGAACTGCCAAGAAAACAAAAAAGTCTGTCTTGGAGAGGGTAAAACTAAGTTTCTCTTTGAAGGCTAGAATTTTTGAAGCTCCATCTCATATACTTCAGACACATAGCCAGGAGGGACCAATCCTCGGAGGACATCATGTTCGGAAGGGTGGAGGGACAGAACAGGAGAGGAAGACCCTGGATGAGATGGATTGATACAGTAACTGGGGCAATGGAGTAGGTGTTTCAGAATCAATGAGACTGGCTTACGCCAGGGTAGACTTCAGATTTAGTGTACATAGGGTCACTGTGACTCACAGGCGACTTGATGGCACCTTCAACAACAACCGATACTCTTGTCCTTAAGTATTCTTTTGAACCTTAACTTTTGAGGAAACTGGTTTCCTAAACTCAACTCTGAGCCACATGATAGCCCAGCAGGTGAACAACAGGTCTGGGCCTTGCCCTATTCTTCACCTTCCCTAGCCCCTGTGATATGTTCCAGCCTGTGTTAGAGTCACTGTGTCAGTCCATCTGATGGGGAGTCCTCCTCAGTTTCAGCAAGCAAGGTTGTGTCATCTGCATAATGTAGGCGGTTGATGAGTCTTTCTGCAATCCTGATGCCACATTCCTCCTCATAAAACCCACCCTCCAGGATGATCTGTTCTGCATGTAGATTGAAAAGGTACAGAGACAAGATGCATCCCTGATGCATTCCTTTCCCGAATTTGAAATACGCAGTGTTTCCCTGCTCCACTCTGAGGACTGCTTCCTGGTCCAAATATAGGTTTAGCATAAGCACAGTCAAAAGTTTTCTGGAATTCCCATTTTCCTCAAGGTTAGCCACAATTTGTTGTGATTCACACAGTCAAATGCCTTTGCATAGTCAATGAAACACAGACATTCTTCTAGTACTCTTTGCTCTCTGCCAAGATCCACCTGACATTGGCAATAATGTCTAGTGCCACGACCTCTTCTAACTCCAGCTTGCATTTCTGGTCGTTCTCTGTCAATGTACTGTTCCAGTAGTTTCTGGATGATCTTTAGTAGGATTTTGCTAGTGTATAATATTAGTGAGATTGTTTGATAATTTCCGCTCTGTCAGGTCACCCTTTTTTGGAATGAGAATAAATAGGGATCTCTTTCCGGTCAGTTGGCCAAGTAGTTGTCCTCCAGATTTCTTGGTGCAACTTGGTGAGCACAACTAGGGCTGCATCTCTTTGTTGAAATTCATCAATTGATGTTCCATCAATTCCTGGGATTTTATTTTTTTGCCAAGTCCTTCAGAGCAGGCTGAACTTCCTCCTTCATCACCCTTGCCTCTTGATCATGTATTGTTTCTTGAAGTTCTTCTGTGTCAGCCAATTCTTTTTGGTACAATGACTGTATATAATGCCTCCTGAATCATTCAATAGTCTGCCCATAGCATCCTTAAGCATTGCAACTGGAGGCTTGAATTTATTCTTCAGTTCCTTCAGCTTAAGAAATGCTGAGTGATGGGAGCTCTGGTGGCCTAGTGGCAAGAAGCTGCACTGCAATCCCAGAGGCGCACGGTTCAAATCCGCCAGATGCTCTGCTGGGAAAGGAGGGACAATCTC